GCTTAGTGTGGGCGTGGACAGCGACACCGACGTGGAAATGATCGCGGCGGAGCTGTACGTCTTCCAGTTGTCCACTGGGCTGCCTCACCCGGCCCGGGCCACGGGGACGACTACGCAGCTGCGCTGTACGATGCTGCGACGACGAACATAGCAGAGATGAACATGTGCGGCGCCATCCAGCGGTCGCCAACTGGTGACCTCCTTGCTGTCGTCGTCGCCATTGCGGGTCCGGGCGGCTCGGTGCCCGTTGCTGACGACGTTGATTACCCAGTTGAGCACGTGCTCGTGCTGGTCAACTGGAAGACGGGCGGCTCGTGGCGGAGCACGTGCCATGCTCCTCTCCCGCAGTCGCATTCCTCCGGGCGGACCTGCTGCTCACGGCGAACGGCCCGGAGAACCAGCTCGGGTGTGGCAGCTGCCAACAGAAAACAGCGACCTCATGCTCGTCGCGGCCCTGGAGCTCCCTGCGCTGTTCGATGGCCTCCTCGCGCACACGTTCAGCTGCCGCCCCACTGTGACCTCCGGCGATCCACTCGGCACCCCTTCGTCATCGGTGCACGTGCAGTTTGCGCCCGACGCCCCGCGATTCCCTGCTGTACATCACGTACCTCGTGACCTCGGGAATCGCTGGACGTGGACGACTACAAGCAGGCGTTTTTCGTCCGCCCACGCGCGCTGTTGGCGATGATCGACCCTCTCGACGACGACGACTATCGGTACCCCGTGGAGGACTGGCTGCCGACTTGTGCGCGCTGGGTCGACCCGCTTCCCTGCCCTGCCCCGTTCCCACGGTATCAGGACCTGCCCCCGCTCACCGACTCTGGCACACACCTCCCGGGCCTCCGCGCGCCGGCCGTGCCGGGCGGGCCGGTGCTGCTCACAATCATCGACACGAGCGCATGGGCGGTCGAGCTCGTGACGCGGGCAGCGCGGGCGGACCCGACCGGGGGCAAGGACGCAGTGTGGCGCAAGCTCGGGATCCGGCCCGGCCTGAGGGCAGATGGCACACTGGGCACGGAGAGCGGCGCGGTGCTGCGGCTCGTGCGGCCGTCCACCGCAGAGACCCCAGTCACGCTTGCCAGCGGGCCAGACGCGTTCCGCGGGTTTATCGGGTACGATGTCGGCCCGGACCCCGACGACCCCGACGACGGCGGCGCGTACATGGTGATGGAACCGCCCCCGCCGCAGACGCAGTCCGCGCTTGCGTATGTAGAGATCACGGCGCCGGCGTACCACTGTGATTTCATGTATGTGAACAGCGCGTGCATTGTTGCAGGTGACTCCGGGTCGGACGCAGTGTTGTATTTCGGCGCTGCGGCTTAGAGTAGTGTCGATAAGGGTAGTCTCGCTAACTTGAAATCTTACAAGAATTCTTAAGTTGACTACAGCTTGAACACTGTTAAACTAGCCCATGAACAACTGATAAGAAGGAAAGTTAGACGACGATTGATATGTGTCGTAAACCCCACAGCACCCTCATCTGGTCAGCTTCAGCCGTGGCCTCGATACAAATTGAACAATCACGACTGGTTGACCCAAGACGGAATGTGTAGTAGTAGTACTAGGGTGCAGGATTGAAATACCAGGACATTCACATCCTGTTTTTAATACCTGGGGCATTTAAAAACCAGTTTCAAAACTGGGATGTATTAAATTGCCGAAAAGGCAATTTTGAGCCCTCGAACTAGTCTTTAACCCCAAAGTCCCCGATATCACCAATTACTGATACTGACCCATTTCAATCAATTCAGCGGGCCTGTGACCCGTGACCGTTTGGCCGAAATGTCCAATTCGGCCGCAGGCCGAATTTCGCGTGACCTATTACCCGATTAGGAAGTTCGGCACGCCGCAGGCGCCGAAAATTTGGAAATCTTCCCGATTAGGACAGTTTGGGACCAAAAGATTTGGCTGTGACCTGTGACCCGCCGAAATATTTCGGCCAAAAAATCCGATGTGACCGTGACCCGCCTAATTGAATGAAATAGGTCAGTATTGTATACCCCTCATTAGTACCTCTAAATATTTAAATTTGCATATTGAGTGAGTTTTCACTCATATTATCCTATCATGGATGACATATTTCCCCCTTTTGAAAGTCTGCACACTAACTTTTCTGTAAGGGTAACCCCAGAGGCCTGAGATCAAGGTCCTAGGCTAGCTAGCAGGAGAGGATCCAAAGAGAAGAAACTCTAAGGGTCCACCTGCTAGGGAGCTGACTCTATACTGCTTGTCCGTAGCTGCCGCTGTCGGGCACAGAAGGCTTGGGCGGCGTTGCAGGAGCCGTAGCTGTAAGTATTTGAAAAAAGTCCCCGGATATAACCAGGGGGTAACGTTTTCACAAGACCCGGATACAACCAGGCCGTGGTTCTGTCCAGCACAAATGCCTATGCTGTCCAACCCTCGGCCTTCGTCGGCATCACTGCTGATCCATCATCATCATCACATGTGTTGATCATCGGGGGGGCCGTTGCTCACCGGCCATACTTCCCACCCATCATCACCCATCTGCCAAGCGCCACCGCGCCCGGTGTCGCTCAGCCGCCATTGATGGCGCATCAATATAACATAAGCACTGTTTGTTGCGCCTGCCCTGCTGCTTCAATGTATATATACTATGAAACTATTTGTATTATCTAGTTAGTTCCTGTGTACTTTAGTCTTGGGAGACATATTTGAAGGGCACAGGTTGCAAGGACAAGCACAATGGGAAAACATGATGCAATATGCAGGTATTAGCACTTAATTCTCAGCTAAATAAATACCAGTGTAGTGTATGAGTAACAGGAGCATGCAAGAAAACTTAGGAACAGGTGGGACTAGGCATTGAGTGTGTATTGATGCAGGATAACACGGTCACATGATCTGTATTCCAAGCGTGTTTCTACCTGGATATGGGGGACTTATCACTACTAAGAGGTATTAATGTGCATATGAATGTATTTAAAAAGGGATTGTCCAGTTTGCTTGGCCCATAGCAGACTAGACCTTCCAGTGGCCTGTATAATATTCTGTTTATTCTCCCCTTGTATAGACTGGAAGGATGACTCTTTATACCTTAGGAATGACATGAGGTGGAGAGGACTGCATAGTACTTCATCTCAAACTCAAATTTGATCCTAAATACTAGTCATGAGGCTGCAGGGACAGCATACTATGTCCTCCTGATGGTTCATCAAAATATTTCTCTTTCCTTCATTTTGGCTAGCCATGGTCCAAATTTGTGTTGGGAGACCAGAGTCAGCTGTTCCTGTCCATAGAAGCCCAAGGCAATGAAATTTATCAGTAGGACATAAATTGTAGCAAGTGAAAAGTGTCGGGACATACATGTTTTTGAACTTCTTGCCTCCTTTTCACAACCTTGCAAATTACTTCTTCCTTCTTGCCTGTAAAAATCCAGGAAAAATCAGTGAGCATCCAAGCATAGTCACTAACAAGCAGTACTTATTTCCGGGATAATTGGGCCAACGGGAATGTCATTACAGTCGATGTAGTGCCTCCCACTTTCGGAGGCGAGTTCGCGACCTTTTGAGGCGAGTTCGCGACCACCCTTCAGTGTTGATTTCCGCGGTCCGAACACCGTCAATCACAGATGCGGCATTAATCTGACATTGACAGCTATTCAAATGTGGTCTAATGTCAACATGTACTCGACAGATCCCCCATTTCCCTGTTCTCCGGCCATGTCCGACTGCTTCCCCCCAGCCCGGAGCCAGCGCAAGGGCAGCCACAGCAGCCAGCAAATGGTTGGGTGCGGACGGGAGGGCGGCACCGCAGCGCGGGTTTGAATTCAATGGAGATCATGCTTGGGTGGCGAGCATGGAAGACTACCTGGGAATGCCGAGTGGGTGGTGAGCCGTGGTGAGCAAGTGGTGTCGGCGCGGTCCGCGCATGGCATCAACGCGCGCGGTAGGGTGACGCAAGTGTGTAGCTGTGTCATGGGCACCGCAAACCGGGAAGCGGGACGGCGGGGCCGCGGGACGGTGGGGCGGTGGGGCGGCGGGCGTGCCAAAGACCACTGACGAGCGTCGAGCTCATAACGCTGAGCAGAGTGGGAGAACGGGTGGCGCGGCAGGCGCTGCAATGATCACCGCAGCCAGCTGCAGCCCAGGGCCCAGCCGGAGGAGGGTCGGGCAGATGGCCTGCTTCTGAGGGAGCTGGCCATGCTCGCGATATGGAGCGCTGAGGAAGCTGTGAGGGAGGGCAGAGGCGGGAATCAAGAATGGGGTGGCGAAGAGGGCGCCGGCACCATTGCCAAGGCCCCCGGGTTCGCGTATACGTAGTCGGGGCGAGCGGGCGGGAGTACGAGTCATGTGCAACACGTAAGCGCGCCCAAGCGCCGAACCAGCTGTTATGCTGCTTATAACCAGAACAACCGGCGCCTGGTTAGAACCAGCTGTTTGCGACAGCGACGGCGTGTCTGCGCACCACCCATCATCCGTGATGGTTGTGTCATTCGCCAGATGGCCGACGGTCGCCTGATGATGGTGCTGGTGATGCAGATCAGCTGCGTCGCGTGGGTGCCTGGCGACGCCAAGTGGATACAACCGGCGCCTGGTTGTATCCGGGTTCTGTGAAATCGTTACCCCCTGGATACAACCAGGACATTTTCCAAAGGTGTCCAGCCACGGGTGGTTGCAGGCAAGGTCCCAGGGCGACCGTTGGGAGGGCGTTGACAGATCAGTAATTGTGCGGGCGAGATGGAGGGCTGGACCGGAATCGAGACCAGAATCGGAATCATCTCCAAGGGGTCGAAAGGGACATTTTCCCACACCCTTGCTGTTTCAAAACAAGTGTTTTTGCCTGAAGAATTCAAAACAGTGTTTCGAAACAGCTGTTTTGAAACAGGGATTCAATCCAGAGTCAAATCCTGCACCCTAAGTGTACATGTATAAGAATTTGTAATTTTGGTAACATTTGAGCAAACTACTCCATTTGGTTGACCCTCGACTGATGAGGATACATCCCTGAGAAAATGACTGAATAAGAAGATTGGTGACTATCTACAAGCTCGTCTCCGATCCAAGAATCTTCGAGAAATATTTCCCCACGCCCGCCACCGCCTCCTTTACGCTCCCACCCTCCACCGCGCCGACGACCCCATCAGGACGCACAACTACAAGTGCCGTCTCGCCCTCTGCAATGCCATAGGTGGCGTATGCATGGCCCCGTGTGTCCTGGAGCACCACATCTGCGCGGCCGACCTTCTCAAGCGCGACGCCTGTTGGAAGAATATGCACCACCTTGGTCGTCCCAGCCCGGCAGGCGAAGCTCTCCAAGAGCATCGGCGCTGACAAGAGCGTCACCGAACAGCAAGATGGTATGCTTGCTCAGGTCAAACACCGCAAACAAGCTTGTCTCCTTCTCGCCCTCGCCTGCCAGTCCCGGCGCTTCCGGTGCGCGGTAGCCTGGCAGCGCGCCGATGTCCGTCAGACTCGCCGTATACGCCGGGGCCAGGCCTTTGTCCGCATCATCGTTTTCCGCAATGATTGAGCTCCCGCAATAGTTGACACCCAGCATCGAGAGCTCCGCATGCTTACGGCGGCCGCCCGCAGTAGCGCTTTCCGCGGCGTCCGAATTGGGCTGCTGCCGCATCTACAGATAGGCCACTTGAGTATGCAAGCAATACCCTAGGAGTAGACACACCTTGTGTGTGGTATTGTGCAATAACGTAGTCAGCTTGAGCATCTGCGCAATGACACGGAGGCGCTCTTCGGCATAGGTGTCGAGCAACGAGTCCGGCGCAAGGTTTTTGATGACCAGCGCGAGCTTCCATGCGAGATTTGCCGAGTCTTGGACACTGGAGTTGAGGCCTTGGCCACCAGCAGGGCTGTGACAGTGCGCTGCATCTATATAGCATATTAAAAAAAAGTAGACAACAAGCAACAGAAATAGCTCACCGCCTACGACAAACACCCGCCCGACGCGCATCTCGTCGACCATTCGGATGTTGGCGCGGTAATGCGAAAGCCACAACGCGGATCCGAACGAAATGTCCGTGCGCTGGGTAATGTCATAGAACATCTTGACAAACTCGTCGCGCGTGAAAGGGCCAGAAAGCGGTCCCGAAGCGCTGGGAAGGCACGCAAAGGTATACACGTTTGAGGTAGGCGTGGTGCCGCGAAGGACTATCGTCTGTCGCGGGTCGGCCCACATGTGCCACAACTACAACAACAACAAATGAGGATGAGAAACAGAAGAATGAGAGCCATAGACATACGCCGGGTGTAACCCCTTCGATCTCGATGTCACCGAGGAACATCTCCTGCTCCTCGTGTGTCTCACCGAGGAAGCTCAGTCCGAGGCCCTTGCGCACGACACTGTGAGCGCCGTCCGCCCCGACCAGCCACGCCACTTCTGCCGTTTCGGCGTCGCCACCTGCGCGCTTCAGCGTCATGCGGACAAAGTCGGGCTGCTGCTCGAAGCTGGCCAACTCGACGCCCGAGCTCGACAGTGCAGCCCAGTGCAGCAAGAGCCTCACGGAGCACGGCCTCGTGCGCGTCTTGTGGGATGTTCATCGTGTTGGGCTATAATATCAATGAATAAACAGCTTAAAACTGAAGGAGAAGCATCACATAGGGCATGGAGGGTGTCGCATCCACCAGCGGGGTCAAGCGGAACTCCTTCATCGGCGTGGTGTTCTCCTTGCCTGGCTTGTACAGTGCGATATTCGGTATGTCGCCGCCGCACGCAATGATCTTGTCGTACAGCCCGAGCTGCGCGTAGAGTTCGAGCGTGCGAGACTGCGGTTGTTGCTTAGAAGTGCGAGAAAACTGAGAGAAGCAGCGCACCTGGACGCCAGCCCCCGCGGCTGCCAACGCGGTGGGTCTGCTCCTTGTCGATAATGCGCACGGAAATGCCACTGCGCAGTAAGAGAAGCGCAAGCACGAGGCCAGCGGGGCCCGCACCGGCCTGGAGAGTGGAGACCGTCAAACGTCGAGCAAGAAGGTTCAAGGGACGGTGAAAACGCACAATGAGCACAGTAAATTTGTTTGCAGTCGACATTGTTCTTCTTCAAGTTGCTGTTGGGATATAGCTTTCGATGGTTTGATGTCCCTCTGCACTCCAAAGGGCCTATATATACCCTCTCGTCTGCAGCCCAGCCCAGAAGTCGCTTCGCCTTCAGACACCCCCGGGCCCGCTTGCCAGTGTCGATCCCAGGCGTATACGCACGACCTGGCATGCATGGCCGCAGCGACGCCGTTGCCCATCCACGCCCGCCCAGTGGCCAGCCAGCAGAACCATCACGGCAGGAGGCAGGCCGTGATGACGTGGTGCGCAGCCATCAGCATCACGCTCGCACGCAATGCGGACATCACCCATTTTGGGTAATGGACAGTGTAAGATGGCTTACGCTGCGGCACGGCGCACCCCAGATTTGCGGTTCATTTCTGGCAGACATCGAGCAGAAAAGAGGCGATAATTCAACAGCGACATGCGACTACGCATGGAGAGTGTGTAGGCATGTAAATCAGCTTACGGTGCGGCACGGGCCACATGACTCTGGAACAACCCTTCTGATTGTGTTCCGATTTAAATTTTAGCAGAAGGCACATTGAACAGATTAAGAGATGATAGTTTATGTTGCTTGTCGAAGCCCATGACTAGTAACTACACTATGACGACAAGTTTGCTTGCCCAGCAGCGTTGAACTATGCACTAGTAGTTGGACTGTTGGTAAGGGGGGGGTCAAGTTTGAAATTGTGCATATACAGTAGGGCTCAAAAGTTTTTGCCAACCTCTCTCAGCCTCTCTGCCATGTTGGGCAATACTTATGTTTCTGCAATTAGCATCATGTTAACTGAACACAATATTTGATTGCATTTTGTATAAACTTCCAAAGTTTCATTGCAATTATTCGTGGGAAACAGATACCTGTATCCGTGAATGTCAAACCTGTGGATGTTTCCTTGCAGGTACCTATGCAAACATCTGCGGGTATTGACACTTGTGTTGTTCCAGGCCCATCAGCCTCTCCCAAGGGACCTGCAGATCAGCAAGCCAAGACGTCATGTCCCACTTATGATCCCTATAAGTATAGGGTAGGGTGGGTCCCCAAGTGAAAATTTTACTTTTGGGGCTCATGTCAGGGAGTGTTCAGGGATGTCCAGGAGGACCATAACTGCACTTTTATCTGTTTGTAGCCTGTATCATCTCTGCTGTGTGGGTCTTTCAGAGACACCAAGCACAAAATGGTTCTGCAATGAGCAATGTAGTGATGGCCAAGTCCAGTTTGGTCTGGTTCTTGGTCCATTCTGGCCAAATGCCGGACAGCCAGTTTAGTTCAAAACCTAGATTCGGTGAACCTGAAGACTGGCCATCAGTAGGACAATGTTGTGCAAACACCAATGGGCACAGTTGCAAGAAAGGGAAACACTAAGTTTCAATTTGTGGAAATTTGTGCTAATTTAACTATATTTGTCATTCCATTTTTAGGTCTCTCCAAGGCTACTAAGAGGAGCACTGGGTGGACGACAAACAATTTCCTTTTAGGGAAATCATGTGGCCTAGTCATGCTTATGTAAATAGGGTAGAGAGGGTCCGCCAGTGCTTAATTCACAGTTTTTGACCCAATTCTTTGTTTGGGTGGTACTCTCGGCCCCCTCTATGTAGGCCATGATGTTCGCTCATCTTGGATCTGAGTGTTTCCATTCAAACAGCTAAAAATTCCTCAGACAAATTCAGACCCTTTGACTATGATTTTCAGTTCTGATTTCACTTGGGCTTTTGTTTGTTTACTTATATCCTTTAGGTGTTGAGTTTGTTTCCAAAATCCGTGTGGCCATCATACTAGGCTCTAAATCTTTTCGTGGTATTTGTCGACAACTCAAATAACACAGAAACATAAAACACTTTGGTAATCGGACAATATTCAGCAGTTTGTTCTCAAGTTTTTAAATATGTTTTGTGAATCTTTATCACCATATACATCCATTAAGGAGAAACATGTTCCCTTGTGCTGTGATATCTTTTTTCAGTCTAATATCAATATCAAAAATAAACTTTCTATTGATGATGGATGATATTGCCAAATCAAGAAAGATAAAATCCTATTCAGTGCTAAGAAGATGCAATTGAAAGTTTGTGGTGATAAAATATTATTTCTTAATTGATATCTAAGTGCTTCTATGGCTTAACTTTCATGAACAATGCCAAACTTGGTATGGTATGTACTGTAGCAAAAATGCCGTGACATCGCATACAAAAATCTCAATTCATATGAGATTTCCTTATTAGGCAATTGTTGGCGCCGGAGGTGCCGGAAAAACTGCAAAATTACCCTTTTGGGATGCGAAAATGGCAAACCCGGCATGACATGCGAAGTTTTTTGCGTATAATATGCCGAGTGTGACATGTGACATTCGAAACGAGTAAAATACTACAGTATGTCAACTAGAGTATTTCAAACCCTACTGTCCATGAATCTTATACTAGCAGACATAAATCAAACGGCCAAAAGTTATCTCAGAAATGTCCGCAAAAAGGTGAGTTTGGGTCTCCCCAGTCATATTGGCTCAGTGACTGTATTTTGAAAAGAGGACTGGAGAGGAAATAGGATCAAATTGCACTTGCTACATGGAACTGAAAGATGATCAAATACTTGAAAGGTCTGATCAGTTAACATTTCAAATGATATAATGTGAAAGAGGTGAAACAATTAGCTATACATTTGTATACAACTAATTTTTCCACTTGACCCCAGTAAATAATATAATAGTAGCATTGACTCAGACTGTTTTGCCTGAAGTTGAGTTTGCTAAATTTTTGAGACACGAGTACAGACTTGCGTGAGGAGCATGCTGGAGGCAGCACGGGAGAGGCACGTAAGCAGCGAGTATCTTGAGGGTGAGTTCGCAAGGCAAGCCGGGGAACAGAGCCGGACGAGAAATGTCCATCGTGGACGATGACAAGCAGGGTGTCACGGCGGGTCACACAGTGATCGCGTAATTTTCTTTTTGCTCTTCCCTTCATCTTGGTTACACTACTGCGACGATGCCGGCCCGGAGGAGCACGCGCACGCGGAAGATGTCGGGTTCGCCCGCGTCCTCTCCGCCACCTGTGGCATCTTCGCCGCCCGCTGCAGTCGACGACGACGACGACGATGAAAATGAGGGATATGAAGACGAGGATGAGGAGTTTGGGGAGGGGTCGGGCGCTGGCGAAGAAGATGAGGAGGACGAAGACAGTGAAGGGGAGGGAGAATCCGCAAGTGGCGACGACGAACCTCCCACTGTCAAAAATGGAGACGGGGAAGATTCTGAAGATGAGGACAGCGATGACGACGACGCCCCGCCCGTCGCTGTCCCACACTCGCAGGCGAAGAAGGCGGCGCGCGGTGTTCAGCAGCGCGTAGAAGAGGCCAGGGCGGAGGTGAACCGCGCAGCGAAGGCGAAAGCACAGGCGAGGCAAAAGGGCGGGAAGGGGAAGAAAGAGGCGGAAATGGAAATGCTGGGGAGCGACGCGGACAGCGATGCTGAGATGGAGGAAAGAATGGAGCGGGCGATGAGGGAGGCGCGGGCGGAGCTGGGGAGCGATTCCGGGGAGGAAAGTGGGGAGGAGGATGTCGAGATGGGGTCGGGCAGCGAGGAGGACAGCGATGAAGAAGACGATGAGGAAATGTCCGATGTCCCCACCCCACCCCCGCCCAAACGAAAAGCCCTTTCGGCCACCAAAAACCACCTCCCAGACCACCTCTTCGCCTCTGCATTCGCTACCCCCGCCCCCGCAAAAGCGCCTGCCCCAAAAACTGCCCCGGCCCCGCCGACTAAAAAGCGAAAACGTTCGAAGAAGGAGCTTGTCATCGGGTGCGTGGCCTCCTCCTTCCTATCCGCGGTGCTAATACTCTGTTTTCAGCTCCCGCACGATTCGCATCGACGCTGCACACACCACGCCCTCCGCTCTGCCTTCGAAGAAGATCCGCACGTTCACCGACCGTGCACTCGGCTTCAACGTCAAGACCGCCGATGCGAAGACGAAGGGGAAGAAGGCCCGCAGGACGGAGTGGCAGCGCTTACCAGGTGCGTGGTTCTCCCCGTTGAAGACCAGGTTTCCTTATGGTTGTTGGGGGGCAGCTGCGATTGGCGTGTTGAGAGGTCATAGGGTGGATGGCGGTGGACGGCCGGCGGCGCGGTTCGTGCGCAACGCGTGATGAGTGCGAGTCATACTCGGGTGGAGCAATGTGTGGTACAGTCTGCGGTACTGGCTGACAATGAATCTATCTCAATTCTGAACACTGAACCTGTTAGGACAGCGCGCCTTGAGTTGAGCTCCTGACTTGCACTGCGATTTTCTTCTGAATTAAACGGCCACTGGCAAAAAGTCTCGCCACTTTTGGAACCTGCGCATTCAATCCCTACATACGGGCCAAACAGCAGCTGATCTGCCATCGACTTCGGATTCATTTCTCCTCCGACATTCCCCGTGCAGATGAGCCGCAGTTCCAGCCGCGCCGCGCGGTAAGCGCGCCTTACGCCGTCACGATCACCGTCGAAGACGCCGTGCCACAATGTCAGCCGCCTTACGCGCTTCACTACCTGGGCGGCCCAACATGTCATCGGTGTATTTCCGCGTCTCTCAGGCTCCAGTATGCACGTCCCGGCTGGCAACTGCGCAGGCGACGCGTCACTGCGGCCATCACAGTGTCTGAACGTGTCGGCGCTGGTGAAGGATAGCGATCTATTTGCTGCTCTGGCCCACTGGTATGCACACATGTATAAGTGAGGGCCTACAGCAGCCTGGAAGAACTCAAATCTACAGAAACTTGAACAACGATGGAAACCGAACCGCAAGTGCTCATCGTGCGTTCATCTCAGGGCCCGGGAATTGGCCAAACAGTAGCTCAGCGTTCTGCAGGCCGGCGCGGGCCCCTCCGGGCTCGTGCTTGCGCTCATCCTCCGGCGCAGCGGCGTGCGCGTGCGGATCATCGACAAGGAGCCGGCTCACCGCCCCGGGAGCCGCGGCTCGGGCGTGCAGGCGCGCACGCTCGAGCTCTACGCCCAGCTCGGCCTCTACCCCCAGATCGCGGCGTGCGGCGCGGAGATCCCGAACATCGCGCTGTACAAGCCGGGAAAGGAAAATCTGACGCCGCAGAAGGAGTTCAGGCTGACGGAGCGGGCAGAGGCGACGCCGGGGATGCCATACGTAAAATCAAAAAAATACGCGTGATTGAATTCAAGTTGTTGATGATTTTTTACAGCCGAACGCGATAAACATCCCGCAAGACGTGCACGAGGCAGTGCTGCGCGGCGCGCTTGTGGGGCTGGGCTGCACCGTCGAGCTCGGCGTGGAGCTGACCAAGTTTAGTCAGCACTCCGACGGTGTCCGCGCCACGCTCAAACACGCCGACGGCACGGAAGAAGTTGCCGAGGCCACGTGGCTGGTCGGCGCGGACGGCGCACACAGCGTTGTACGCAAGGGCCTGGGGCTGAGTTTCCTCGGCGAGACGCACGAAGAGCAGGAGATGTTGATTGGAGATATTGAGGTCGACGGTGTGTCTCCCGGGGTAAGTTTCGTGCTTTCCTTTGGCGCTAACTAACTTATTTTTATAGTTGTGGCACATGTGGGCCGACCCGCCGCGCACGATGGTGCTCCGCAGCGCGACGCCCGACTCCAACCTCTTCATGTTCGCGTACGTCCCCGGCACGCCCGGCGCGGTGCAGCACGCCGGGCCGTTCACCCGGGACGAGTTCGTCGAGACGTTTTATGAGGTCACACAGCGCACGGACATCACGTTCGGGAAGGCGACGTGGCTGTCGCGCTATCGGCCGAACATGCGCATGGTGGATCAGATGCGGGCGGGCCGCGTGTTCGTCGCAGGGGGTACGCCATGCCAGAATCCCCCTTATCTGACTGATGATTTAGATGCTGCACACTGCCACAGCCCTGCCGGAGGCCAAGGCCTCAACTCGAGTGTTCAAGACGCGGCGAACCTCGCGTGGAAGCTCGCGCTCGTGATCAACCACCATGCCCCCGATGCGCTGCTGGACACATACGCCGAGGAGCGCCTCCGCGTGATCGCACAGATGTTACAACTCACAACTGCCTTGTACAACTCCACGTTTGACGCGCTCCGGGTGCGTGCATATATATTGTGGTCGACCCCTTGTTCTTCCGCTGATGTGTTCTTCTAGTTGAAGCAGCAGCTCGACGCGGACGGCACCGAGGACGCACCGATGGGCACGGACAGGAACGGCGCAGGGCTATCGATGCTCGGCGTGAACTACTCGGGGAGCTCGATCATCGCCGAGGACAACGACGCCGGCCCCGCCCCGGCGTACGCGCCGGGCTTCGCAGAGACCGGCGTCCGGGCCGCGTACCGCGCGCCAGATGCCCCGGGGCTGGTGGCTGTTTACCCAATGAGGAAGGAGACGAGCCTGTTTGAGGTGTTCGACGTCGCCCTGCACACCGTCCTGCTCTTCGGCGGTGCTGCCTCCAAGTTCTCCCGTCTGCTTCAAGGGTTACCGGTGGGGACAACACAGATGGTGCAGATCCTCCCGGCTTCTGTTGACACTGCTCCGCTCAAAGCGGAGGGCGTGGACATCGTGCTGCACGACGCGCGGGGTCACGCGTACGCCGGCTACGGCGTCGAGACAGGTGAGACGGTGGTCGTGGTTGTGCGCCCCGATGGTGTCGTTGGCATGGTGCAGCGCGGGAGCGCGGAGGAAGCAGTGAAGGGCTTGACACAGTATTTCGCAAAGATCTTCGGGTGAAAGATTTAGTACTAAGCACTATAATACATGGTTCAGCCTCTTGCTAATTGGCAGCGGATGAAACGCACCTCGTCGGCGAAGTCACTGATCGCGAGCGACTCTCTGGCGCTTCACCCGCGGCCCAGCGCAAAGAGCCCAGCCTGAGGCAACGAACTTGAAGCCAGCCCTGCAACCTGGCAAGCTGCGCCCCTGTGACGAGTACAACGCGGACACCGTGCTGATGGCGGGGTGTAGTACAAGGCCTGGCCAGGCTCCAGCACGCCGTCATTGACTTCCTCGATTTGGAGAACAACGACACAAAGGCGCAGTGCCCGCGGTATTTGTTTGATGGGGGACCAGGCGGTGGTGGTGTCGCGCAGAGGCGAGGGCATGCAGCGGGAGCTGTTCAGCGCACGGGCGGGCGACCTCGACGATGGATTGAGCGGGGCATAAGATGGCCTGGGCGCACTGAGTCAACAGCACACAGCGGTTAATGCGCAAGAGCAGGTGGTGGTTGATGAAAAAGAAGCGGTGACAAGAATCCGGCATGCGGCGCCGAGGGCCGGGGCGGATTCCCACACAGCCTCAAGAAGTTTTCCTTCACACCGTGACACCGAACGCGCTTGCCACTGGTCTCACTCTCCCTCAACGGCAAGACAGCTCCAAAGCCAGCCGGGGCTGGGGGCCCCTCCTGCGGACTTCCCTTCCGTTTCTGCTGCCCTCTTCACGGCCCCGGACGACCCCGACTTGCTTAAAAACCTTTTCAATGCACACTACAGAAGACTCTGGCGTTGCGCTTACCTCTGGCGCCAATTGGGGCCCCTCCTGCCGACTCCCTTTCGCTCCCGCTGCCCTCCTCACGGCCCCGGACGACTCGCCCCGGCCTGCTCAATCCTTTTCAACGCGCTCGAACGAAGACACTAGGCGGCAACGCGGACGATACACTCGCCATTGTAGCTGGTGGAGCTCTGGGCGCAACTTCTGCCACCGCGCGCCATCGCGACGGTGGATCGGCGGGAAAATGGACACGCGCAAGGCGCCACACTCTGTCGTCCTTCGTGTGGCCTTGCGCAACGATCTGCTGGTTGGATCTGGGCTGGCGCCAGGCGCGACGCTGGCCAAATCTTGGCCATTTCGGCGGGTATGTGTCCGGAGATGATGCGTAAGCGTCAGAAGAGACTTCTGGGACACATCCCAGATGTCTCGACGCGTTTCGGCGGGCTATGTAGGGCCGCGCTCGCTGTCGACATTGGTCTGCACAAGATCGGTGAGCGCCGAGCTCAATTCTGGTCCGTTCCGGCTGAATTTCTCAGCGCAGGCAGAGTGCACGTCCTGCTCAATTCTTTTCAACGCGCTCGAACGAAGACACTAGGCGGCAACGCGGACGATACACTCGCCACTGTAGCTGGTGGAGAGTTCTGGGCGCACCTTCTGCCACCGCGCGCCATCGCGACGGTGGATCGACGGGAAAATGGACAGGCACCACGCGCCACACTCTGTCGTCCTTCGTGTGGCTTGCGCAACGATCTGCCGGTTGGATCTGGGCTGGCGCCAGGCGCGACGCTGGCCAAATCTTGGCAGTTTCGGCCACGATTGGTCCCGAGGTGCGCCTGGGACACATCCCAGATGTCTCGACGCGTTTCGGCGGTCTGCATCGGCCGCGCTCGCTGTCGACAGTGGTCTGCACAAGATCGGTGAGCGCCGAGCTCAATTCCGGTCCGTTCGGGCTGAATTTCTCAGCGCAGGCAGAGCGAACGCGGCCGTCCAGCCGCTGAAGTTTTCAAGACAAGCGGGCCAACGGCTGGCCCTGCGCTCGCCGATCTCTGGTGCGCGAAACTCGGGGCGGGTCGGCCGCGTTCTCACGCGTCCGGCCCAGGACCTTCAGGATGAGACGGGGCAATATGCCCCTCTATCCCCAGCGAGTTTCACGCGGGACGACTGCGGGCTTGGGTCAGCGCTGCCCGGCCAGGACTTTCCGCGGCCAGCGACGTTCCGCTGCCCTCGAACGAAAAAGGATTCTGGTCCTCCAGGGGCGGCGTACACGTCAAGAGAGACTCGCGAGACACATCCTAGATGCTCTCGATCCGTCTCCGCGGGCTATGTACTCCGCGTTCGCTGTGGACCGCGTTGTGCACACGATCGGTGAGCGCCGAGATCATTTCCGGCTCGTCCTGGCTCAAATCCTTAACGCAGACAGCGTTGGCTTGCTTCTTCAACTTCTCAAAGTTTGGAAGCGAACAGGCCAGCGGCTGGCCCTCCGCTCGCCGATCTCCGTTGCGCGAAACTCGAGCCTGGCGAGCCGAGTCCTCGCTCGTTCGGCCTGGCGCTTTCAGGGTGCGAAAGAGTGGTAATCCCCTCCAGATGCCGTGAATTTCAAACGACACAAGCCACTGTCTGGGTCTGCGCGGTCCTCCCGCTGTCTTCCGAGGCCAGGGGCGTTCCGGCCCGCATCGCGGCCGTTCGGCGTGGAAACTTGCGCCCGGACAGCGAGCATACGCCCGCCCATCTCCTGGGAATCGCAAGCGGAACGACGCCCTCGTCTTGCCGCAGCGCCGAAGTGAGTCCATCCAGCCCTTTTGCTGAATTTCACTCATGTATCGCACCAGCCAGCTCTCGCACAAGTCAAGCCCGACGTGCCCTGCGCGTTCTGCTTGCAAACAGCCGCCATTAGTACGCGCTTATTGCCGCGGGAGGTGTGGGGATGTCGTCTCATTGTAGGTTTTTTCAGATATTACCTCACTGCTCAGTCAATTTGCAGCCCGCAAATGCAACGAGGTGGCCACAGCGCTGTCGTCAAAGCCAATCCCCGAAGTACTTCCTTTACCGCGGCCCTTGACGAAGCTGGCACGGTGGCGATACTGCCGGGCTGGCTCGTAGTCGGCACCGCCGTGTATAAGTCTTCTGGCTCATCACAAACAGCATACTGACTGTCGTCGCAGCTCCCCGCGGTGTTGTTGCACGCGGTAATTATGTGCGCGACCGACCTTTGGAGGATTTGCAGAATGCGGGTGAGCTGCTTTCCGCACCGCATTCGAGTTGACTGCCAGTGAGAGTTGGTGACCGTGCCGGCCAGTCTTGCGGCACCGGCGGGCAGGTCTACAGAGCGGGTCTGGGACTAATACTAGGGTGGCACCAGTGCCGGGAGGAAGTCAGCAGCCCATCCGAGCCAAGTGCTCTTCTGCACCGACCGTGGAAAAAATATTATCTGCATGTAATTCACTTCTTCAACTGAATAATATCTGAACATATGAACCAGACTACACAATCTGTCATTGAAACTGTAGCCAAAACATTACATGCACCTAAGCTGATAATATATAATCGATGAACATCAGCTAAAATATTGAATTGAACCATTCATCCAATAAACATATCCTACACCGCCAACGGGTTTCCGGCTGTGACACAGCCGGAAAACTCCCGGTGGATACATCTGATGCCCAGCTGATTCCCGGATCAGTGCCACATATCCTAGACTATATGCATAGAAAAATGAACAATGGATGAAATAAATGAATAGATAGTTGATTACGTAATCACAGAACTAGCCTAAATCTCACTCTTGTCTATGATCCTTGTACTTAGGCCTATACCACATGGCCTCTAATAATCTTGCACAGGACACAGACTATAAACACAGAGATTGCGCTGAACTGTATAGCATAAGTCAGAAGATGTATCCAATCTTGATTGAGTGACCTCCATTTTTCTTTTTGATCTTCATTCAATTAAAGGCAATTTTGAACATGTACAAATAGTTAATTGAAATATTACAGTGATAGAACTTAAGGGAAACAGAAAAATAACAAATTATATGGATATATCACTCCAATATCCCATCAACTCACTCCCCAGTCCTTCATTGGGCATGAGAATGCTAAGTTTGTTGCCTTGATTTTTGGAAAGGGAGGGCCTAGCAGACAAGACTTGTCCTTCACCATAGATCATTTTTTGGCGCTGCCTGCCATATGATTGAGACAAGAATTCACATGCACCACAGCTTACATAATCATCCAATATGTACATTACAATTAACACAAGTTAAGATAGTTAAATTGGCAATAGAAATGCATAGAAAATAAATCAGGGGAACACATATTATATAAGCAAATAAGATTATCTCCTCAAGAATTTTCATATGATTTTTGCACTTAGCATGGAAAAAGTGAATCTGATAATAATGAAGCCTTATCACTTTGGTGAATAAAACTGGACTTGTCGGAAAGAGAATAAATAATGACTTGGATGGAAAAAATTATATCTATAAGTCTCACTTCATTAGGTGTTCAGCCCCAAATTGTCCCAGTGGTTCAGCAGGCTGGTGTGGATGGCTTGAAAGTATCTAATGTAAATTTTATTTACAGAGTAAAATCATATTTATTGAAAGATCCAAAATCTTTCAGTTATAGTTCAGGTGACGTCAGTGTGGCTTCTATACCCACACCTGCCGGAGCGGGCCTGGGACATCGGCAGGAATGGATACAGGCCACCCCGGATTTACCTATGGGTGGCCTATTATGAAAGTCATTCTAATGTCAGAGGCATCAAGCCTAATCTTATCACCAACATTGAGAGTAACATAACCTAGGCAAGCCAAAGTCACAATTTATACTTCCATTGTGGACCTCCATAACAAATAGGGGTAAATTCAATTTGGTGTTAAAACCCTATTTGTAGCCCTTTGGATGAAGTTTTCTTTTTTGCAGAATCTAGCTTAGATATGTTTTATGGCAAGTCAACCATGCTAGTTTTTGGAGAGAATGTGGTCAGGAAATGTGCTTATGTAAGCAATACAATTGAAGATTCCATCAACATGTCCATATTGCTGATGTATCACATCAAGAGAAGAATTTAATCTAGTGATGGTTTTGAACTTGACTTGACTTAATGCATTTAGCCATTGCTAGTTTGACTTATTTAGAAAGTAAAGAATTTAGGTTAATTGGCAGATTTTACCCCAATCCAATTCTTTCATAAATATGATTCAGTTATAATATAAGCATAGCTATTGTGGTTCTAATAGATTTGAAGTAACCAGGAACATGCATTTGGCATTCAGGTTCAGTGAAGGCTGTTTCCGAACCAAACCTGGCCCTTGGTTCGGCCAGGTTTGGCCATTTTGGGCCAAAAAACAGCAGTTTGAGGTTGGTTCGAACCGCCATTCAACATCAATATTCAGCCAAATCTGATTTTGAACTGAACCAGCGGTCCAGCGTTCGGCCAAAAAGGGCCAAGAACGGGACTTGGCCATCACTAGAAGTGATGAGTTGACTGTGGGTGATGTTAGTGCTAAGAGATGAAAGCAAAATTTCATTTGAGTATCAGTTGATAGAGATTTATGATAGCTTTCTAACAATATATAAATGATCCTAAATGGATAAGAATTGGCCAACATATAAGTTTCAGGTGCAAAACACAGCACCTCAAAGAATTAATGTTTCATTTCCATTGGTTCAGTGAGCCAAATATAGAATCTTGGAAGGATTCTGTTTTTGCAGAATGCAGCAGTATAGACATGTTGTTAGTGCTTGCATCCTAAATAGTGAAGTTCAGTTCTTTGCCTATTTTGGCTGAATGGGTTTGGTTCAGAACCTGGATTCAGCAAACCTGAATGCCAAACCCTGCCTTTTTGTGCAAAAGAGGCTGAACCCAAGCTGAATCTGGTTTGGAAAGGGTTTTGGCCAAATGCAAATACCAAACCTTAGTTCAGTCCAGTTAAGTTTAGGTTTGAACAGAAAGCCCAAATCAAAGTTGACCACCACTAATCATAAACTACACTAGGTGAAGTTTAAGCCATGTGATTAGTAGATACTATGAAAGCTTATGAAAATAATGCATTTCAGGATTCATATTCTTATTTTCCAAGAAATCCCACATGTCATTTTTGTCAATATACTTTGTGAGAGAAACTGAATTTATAGGTTTGAAACTGCTTTGAACTCATTTTGTTTCCCAACTCTATACCAAACTTTCATACTTGGAAAATATTAAATCTGGGTGTGATTCAAACTGATCTGACTGAGCATCCAAAGCTCAGCATAGATGGTTGAAGTCCCAATTAGGTTTTGAGGGTGTTCTACATTGTCAACCCCATTGATGTAAGGTGAAACATTTGTTCTCTTGATTAATACTAGTTCAGATCCACCCTTAAATATAGTTGAAATAGCTCTAGTAATCAGTGAAGAAAGAGATTCGCAGCATGCCTTCAAAAACATAGAGCATCAGGCTGACCAAAACCCCAAAATAGTCTGGTCATAGTTAATTTTGAATTAGAAGGGAAACATAGTCCAACATAGTGTTTCAAGAATTGTATGAAGCAGCTAAGAAACTGTAGGCCAAAATGAAATATGTGAGACACTTGGTATAGAAGCAAGGAAAATTTGGGTTAAGACCAATTCAAAGCACCAGTGAATACTGACCATACTTATTTGTGCAAACAGATAACAACTTGATATGGTACAAGGGGCAGTAGGAAGCAAAAGATCATTTCACTCAGATAGATAAACAGACAAGTAATGGTCATGATATAGTACAAGTAACAATTTTATTAAAACCATCAAGGAGCACTGATCATATTGAAGAGGTTTTCAAAATGTCTTTCTAATGATATATGAATCATTTTAAACCAACAGGAATTAACTGAGTTATACCACTAGCAGGTGATAGAGAATTTGAATACCTTTCTAATGGTATATAAATCATCCCAAACGGACAAGAATTGGTCAAGTTATGAGCCTAACACTATTTTGAAACTAGAGAAAAAGTCAAGTTCAACTGGGGGGTTGAACCGGCCCTAAAGCGGACTTCCGCGGATTTCCACTCAAAAGACACTCGTGATTTTTCAATCTTTTGCATTTTGTGGGCTAACCATTGGGAATTGGGCTTAGGTCCAAACTGAACCAAGTCATTAATTTGTGATATCTACAACTTTCATTATTTGACCATGACCCTAAGGTGGAATTCCGCGGACTTCCACCTGGCAGTTAAGATGTCAGCTAGTAAAAGTCTGTAGTTTTGTATTCAATGATGTTCAAGTTGAAGGATGGTTTGTAGGCCTATTGAATACCTTTCTGGTCATATATGAACTGTCTTCAATAGTTAAGAACTCATTGAGTTATGGCCCTAACACTGTTTTGAAAACTCAGGGGACTTCCACCTGGCAGTTAAGTCAAGTTCAACTTTGCCTAAAGTGGAAATCCGCGGATTTCCACTCCAAAAGACACTCGTGATTTTTCACTTTTCTGTGTTTTATGGGCTAACCATTCACATTTAGGCTTAAGGCCAAACTGAACCTAGTGTTCGATTTTGAATATCTACAACTTTCATTAATTGAGCCGGCCCTAAAGTGGAGTCCGCGGATTTCCACCCTAAAAGACACTCGTGATTTTTCACTCTTTGTCAATTTATGAGCCAACCATTAATATTGAGCCTTAGGTCAAAACTGAACCTACTGTTCATTTTGTGATATCTACAAGCTCACAAAGTATGGAGTCATTTTGCCAGCCCTAAAGTGTTGGCAGTTCCAAGTCTTAGTTCAATTAACAATCAGGCTTAGCGCTCAGTGGTCAATCATAACTTGGCAAAGGTGCTGGCCCTAAAGTCCTGGCAGTTAATTACTTTAGGGCCAGTCTTATATATTTTATATACTAAGTCATTTATAAGGCCGGCCCTAGAGTCTATATTATTTATATATATAAGTCATTTATGGGGCCGGCCCTAAAGCGTGGAAAAAAAGAAAAAAATACCCATAGTACAGAAAGAGAAGCCAACATGAGTTGTGAATGCAGGAAGAGTACAATCAACCAGATGATCCACTTGAAGCAGAAGACTTTTGTTATTCTGACTTTTTTAGCAGTTTTACTGAGTTGCCAATCAGGTGTAGTGGCTGTATGGGAGTTCACTACTCTCCCAACAGCTTAGTGGCAGTCTTAAGGAAGACTGCCAGACCAGAGAAAATGCCACAACCAAAAAGACAGCTACTAGCAAACCACTGACAAACACACTATGACCAACAGGTTGAGCTCAGCTCGGAAGGTGTTGAACCAACCTCGCTACCCGCAGGCTTACCATAGCATATCCTATCTCCGCCAATTTAATGAAGCACAGACCAGACTGATCCACTTTCACTGTCTCCCCCCAGAACCCACAATAGGAAGAGCAGGGTCATTGAAGCCAAGCTACTCTTCCATATATAAGGCAGGCCCACCCCCCAGCCCACCCCAAGTCCAAATCACGCAGAGGCGTGAAAAGCGCTGTCCACAATTTTGCGCACTCGGAGTCCGCAGATACAGGTTGTGTGGGTTCAACTCAGTCACAACACAAATATTATTTCTTTTTTTACATGGGTGGAGAAATGTGTGGTCCAGTCTGCGGTACTGGCTAACAATGAATCTATTTGCGCAAGCTCAATTCTGAACACTGAAGCTCATCTGCCATTCATTTCTCCTCCGACATTCCCCGTGCAGATGAGCCGCAGTTCCAGCCGCGCCGTGCGGTAAGCGCGCCTTACGCCGTCACGATCACCGTCGAAGACGCCGTGCCACAATGTCAGCCGCCTTACGCGCTTCACTACCTGGGCGGCCCAACATGTCATCGGCGTATTTCCGCGTCTCTCAGGCTCCAGTATGCACGTCCCGGCTGGCAACTGCGCAGGCGACGCGTCACTGTGGCCATCACAGTGTCTGAACATGTCGGCGCTGGTGAAGGATAGCGATCTATTTGCTGCTCTGGCCCACTGGTATGCACACATATATAAGTGAGGGCCGACAGCAGCCTGGAAGAACTCAAATCTACAGAAACCTGAACAACGATGGAAACCGAACCGCAAGTGCTCATCGTGCGTTCATCTCAGGGTCCGGGAATTGGCCAAACAGTAGCTCAGCGTTCTGCAGGCCGGCGCGGGCCCCTCTGGGCTCGTGCTTGCGCTCATCCTCCGGCGCAGCGGCGTGCACGTGCGGATCATCGACAAGGAGCCGGCTCACCGCCCCGGGAGCCGCGGCTCGGGCGTGCAGGCGCGCACGCTCGAGCTCTACGCCCAGCTCGGCCTCTACCCCCAGATCGCGGCGTGCGGCGCGGAGATCCCGAACATCGCGCTGTACAAGCCGGGCAAGGAAAATCTGACGCCGCAGAAGGAGTTTCGGCTGACGGAGCGGGCGGAGGCGACGCCGGGGATGCCATACGTAAGATCCCACATTCGATGCCCGTGATTTGTTGATCAGTATACAGCCGAATGCACTCAACATCCCGCAAGACGTGCACGAGGCAGTGCTGCGCGGCGCGCTTGTGGGGCTGGGCTGCACCGTCGAGCTCGGCGTGGAGCTGACCAAGTTTAGTCAGCACTCCGACGGTGTCCGCGCCACGCTCAAACACGCCGACGGCACGGAAGAAGTTGCCGAGGCCGCGTGGCTGGTCGGCGCGGACGGCGCACACAGTGTCGTGCGCAAAGGCCTGGGGCTGAATTTCCTCGGTGAGACGCATGAGGAGCAGGAGATGCTGATCGGGGATATCGAGGTCGACGGTGTGTCTCCCGGGGTAAGTTTCATGCTTTCCTTGCTTGAGCTTTCTTGCTGACATTTTATAGTTGTGGCACATGTGGGCCGACCCGCCGCGCACGATGGTGCCTCCGCAGCGCGACGCCCGACTCCAAGCTCTTCATGTTCGCATACGTCCCCGGGACGCCCGGCGCGGTGCAGCACGCCGGGCCGTTCACCCGGGACGAGTTCGTCGAGACGTTTTACGAGGTCACACAGCGCACGGACATCACGTTCGGGAGGGCGACGTGGCTGTCGCGCTATCGGCCGAACATGCGCATGGTGGATCAGATGCGGGCGGGCCGCGTGTTCGTCGCAGGGGGTACGCCATGCCAGAATCCCCCTTATCTGACTGATGATTTAGATGCTGCACACTGTCATAGCCCTGCTGGAGGCCAAGGCCTCAACTCGAGTGTTCAAGACGCGGCGAACCTCGCGTGGAAGCTTGCGCTCGTGATCAACCACCACGCCCCCGATACGCTGCTGGACACGTATGCAGAGGAGCGCCTCCGGGTGATAGCGCAGATGCTCGAGCTGACGACTGCCCTTTACCAGTCCACCTTTGCTGCGCTCCGGGTGCGTTCGACCCGCGCGTCTGACTTTCGCCAGTGTTCTGATGAAATTTTTTATGCAGCTGAAGCAGCAGCTCGACGCTGATACTGGCCCGACGGGCACGCGTAGGAACGGCGCGGAGCTCTCGATGCTCGGCGTCAACTACTCCGGGAGCTCCATCATCGCCGAGGACCGTGGCGCCGGCCCGGCCCCGGCATACGCGCCGAATGTTGCGGAGGCGGGGATCCGGGCCGCGTACCGCGCTCCGGAGGCCCCCGGGCTCGTCGTGCTCGACACGGCCGCCGGAGCGAAGAAGGAAACGAGCCTTTTTGAGGTGTTTGACGTCGCCCTGCACACCGTCCTGCTCTTTAGCGCGCCTTCTGCAGAGCTCTCTGGCCTCCGCCGGCCCAGGGGCTTACCCTCAGGGACATCACAGATCGTACAGATCCTTCCGGACTCTATCGACACTTCATCTCTCGAAGCGGAGGGCGTGGACATCGTACTGCACGACGCGAAGGGACATGCATATGTCAGCTACGGCGTCGGACCCGGCGAAACTGTGCTCGTGGTTGTGCGCCCCGATGGTGTCGTTGGCACGGTGCAGCGTGTGAGCGCGGAGGAAGCCGTCGCCGGCGTGAAGGGGTATTTCACGAAAATTTTCGGGTGAAGGGATGGGTGTCTTTGGCTTCAGAGAAGCACCGACAATCTTGGATACTGCCGGTGTATGTCAAATATAAATATTCCGGGCCCCACATCACACATACTAAGGTCAATCTATTGTGAATTGAGCCGTGAAGTGAGGGAGGAAACTAGCGGGGTCGATGCGAGGTCGATGTCCGAAAGATCGAGGCTGTCACGAGAAGTCACATCAATTGATCGACGAGTAAGTACTCACATCATTGGTCACATCAATTCACTCACTTGTCATTTGCTTTCATTGTTGACGATGAGCATGTCGTCTCGACCCGCTCCGTTTCCCGGTCCTCACTTGCCTTATGAACTTCTTGTCCAAATCTTCACCTCTTGCTTGCCCCTCCACCGCCGCATCGAGCCGGATCCGAAGACCGCTCCCATGGTCCTGACTCAAGTCTGCGCGACCTGGCGCGACCTGGCGCTGTCTATGCCGGAGCTGTGGAGAGCCATCAGGCTGTACTTGCACGAAACTAATTCCGATACTATGGTGGCACTACTGGAGCTCTGGCTTTCTCGGTCAGCACAACTCACCGTGTCACTCTGCATCCGAAGTTATGTGAGTGGACCGATTCCCAGCGGGCTCCAGGCTGCCTTAGCATCCTGCTCGCTGCGTTGGGAGCGCATAGAACTCGACTTTCGGCTACATCTCTCCCATGGGATCCCGCGTATTCGTGGTCCATTCCCTTGCCTCCGCGCACTGGCCATTCGGGTGGACGAGGAGGACTATCCGGCACTGCTATGCGCCAGTCATTCTGGCTGCGTAGACTTTCCACTTCTCTCCGCGCTAGGACTCTGCGACGAGCGCTCCCTCACCAAGGACCCAGACCTGCGATTGCCCTCGTCGCTTGTCGCACTCTCCCTCAACCGTCATGATGAGCTATTCGAGCCCTGGGACGCATGCTTGGCACTCGTCCACTGCTTTCCCCACCTCCGCCACCTCACGCTATCGCACATCCCACCATATTTTGAGCAGGACAAATGTGTTGGCACAATCACGCGTCTGTCCCGCCTCGAAACACTCCATCTCCAGGGCGACCCGCATTTCCTCAACTTTCTCGTCATCCCGTCCTTGAAATCTTTCCAATGTCTGGTTATGCGGGACGACCAGGCGGCGCCAGTCACTGCTTTCCTCATTCGATCTGGATGCAAGCTCGAGTACTTTTCGATCGCATTGGACTTCATGCTCACATCGTCCTGCGCGGGATGCATCCACGCCATCCCCCCGACGTCGCTCCGCGTGCTTGAAGTCATCTTCCGGGCTAAGAGACGGCAACACGACCCTGCTCTTGATCCCCTTGCACACTTGTCGTTCCTGAATCTAGCGGCGCTGTTCCCTCATCTGCAGGTACTGCGGGTCTTTGACGAAGACGAGACAGGGCAGGGACAGCGGTTGTATAGTCCATTTCTTGCCAAGTTGCATGGGCGCCTCTACCCTTCACTCCGCCGTGCGGAATACCACACCGGTCGACCGACCCCTCACAACATCGCCCTCGCCGAATTGGACTCCAGGGTGGCAGAATCCCTGATGAGGAATGGACTGAATTTGCGCTTGTCCAATGTTGGGCAACGATGGCCATGGGCATGGACTCATGATGACGATGATTCGGACACAGGTGCGCAACGGTGGATGACTCGGCTCGCTCAGGAAATGCAACTGACTGTCAGTCGGCAGACTACGCTCCCATCCCACTTGGCGGAGAAGACCGATGGTTCAAAGCAACAACCTTACGTGTCTTCCGGCCGTTTTCTTGTGATTCATAACGCCAAAACAATTGTAACAATACCGCAAATGCGGCATCAAGCAAGTAAGTACGTGGAAGCCATCCATCCAAAATCCATCGGGCATCTCCAAACATCCTCTGAGTATCACAACTTGTATAAATAGAGCTCTTTAATTGCCTGGCCGGCATGTGTTGCAAAACCCCTTGCGTTCAACTATCTCAAGGGTCTCGATCGGCTGGATCACTATTTGCGGTCTAAATACCTTGCTGAGTGATATGTTCTTGTGGGCAACACTGTGCAGACATACATGGGTGCATACATCACGGTACAACCACGCACGTAGCAGCGATAGTCATCGTCATACAAATAGGCGCTCGACATTCGACAGTTGTCTTTAAACTTGTGGTAGCTGCGGGAGTAGCCATAACACATTTGTTTATTGGCCATTGGTCAGTATCAAGTCAGGCAAGATGACCTGAAAACCTGAAGGTTCAGAGCCTATATGTGATCCAACTTGAAGGGGGGTTTAAGATTCTTATTAGGCACATAGGGTAGGGGGAGGGGGGCAAAAAAAACTTTTTTTATATGAAAGATTTGAGCCTTATATGGGTGTAAATCCACTGGAAATATAGTGTATACACTCTACTTTCTATAGTTCACAACCCCCACACTTATATCTATATGCTTTCAAGCCCATGAGCTTGCAAAGCCCACCCTGTTATAGGCCCATTATTAGGCAATTGATGAGAGGTGAACATATTGAAGAGTTGTGTTAAGTGCCGTGCAAGAACCGAAAGGAAGTAACGGAAAGTCCGAAGCAGAACCGAGTGGCTATCACAACACTATATCGGAGTGAGCGGCTACATGTCTTGCAGGCCGAAAGCAAGTCTGAACAAATACGTGAACTCCTGTGGATACGTTCGGAGAAGCCGAAGGCAATAAGGCTTAGAACGCGGGGAGGAGTCGGACGTGAGCGGAGAGCGAGGCAAGAAACGTTAATAACGAAACTGAAGTACAGGACTGTAGAGTACGAGTATTTATACTAAGTGGTAAGCATAAGGCATATGACCTTGCAGGGAGATCCGATGTGGTCCGCAGGATCTCCCTGCGGGTTAAGTACAAAGGCATATAAGTAAGGGGAACGAGAAGACATACACGAGGCAAAGGAAACAAGGCGAACGCCTAAAGGATATAAGTAAACAAACACAAGTCCAAATGGGTAAAGATCTGAGTTGATGGGCGGAAGAGTCCGAACAGGTCTGAGTCTGCGTGCAGATTAACTGTTTGAAGGGAAACCCTTAGATACCTTCATCGCATAAAAACCCTGTTGCACTCCAAGGATAACCTTGGAGCGTCCGAAGATGCACGGGATATAACAGTACTCCCCCGTTAAGACTCTCGCCCCGAGAGCCATAGAACCATCTAGAACAAAGCCGGCGAGGGAAGAGTCGCCTAGCGATTTGGACGGGCCGAATTGCCACCAGTCAGTGCATGGTGGATCATCCGAAGTGGGCCGTACTAACCCAACTCGACAGAGTGTAAGCGCTGCAGTCATCGGCCAACTGCGGACAAGGAGCAGGAGCCCTGTGTCCCAGGACCAGGGTCAGCATGCGCGCGGTGCTGTCGCCAGAAGCAGAAATGCAACCTGCGCGACGCACAGGGAGGCCCGCCAGAGGCTCCTCGAACAAAGGTTTGCTTCTGGTGGCGGGTCTCATTCGGAGCTTGCGCGGCTGTGCCGACGGGTGCAGGACTTGGAGGATGGGTTGGGGGTGTATGGCGAGGGCGTCAAGAGCATGACGTTGGATTTGAACACGACGCAGAAGTCATTGACTCACATCAAGGAGTCGATGGTGCGTTATCGGAAATCAGCGGATAGTCTGAAGCACTAACCTTTTTTCTAGCGTGATAACGAAGACGACATTGACAATTTGTTGTCGTACACGCACGGCAACCAAAAGGCAATCTTGGTTTTGGTGCGAAACCACAGCGACAACAACGTCGAAAACACCGCCTACGCGTTCGTCGATTACGACGTGGCATACAGGACCGAGATCACGGGGCGGGTTCGGCAACGCTCGGAGGAGCCCGAGCATCAGTTGCAAGAGGCGTACGAGGTGCGGAGGTCGCGAGCACGGGCTTGGCTTTTCCGCAACTCAACCAAAATGCGCCAGTGGTTGAATATAACTGACAACGACTACGACGCAAACTGGTGCGAAAAATTGTCGAAGGCTAGAAGGGAGATGGAGCACAAGCGTCACAAGCAGAGAAGGCTTGATGACGAGAAGGACGAGAAGCGCAAGGAGAAGCCGGTGGCGTCCGAACCCGAGGCCGAGCAGCCTCCCAAGAAGAAGAAGAAGTCGAAGAAGAGTTTGGAAGGGCCAGTAAATAGAATAGCTCAGTTGTACATAGAAAGCTGCAAAAACCAAGTGCCGAAATGACCAGAAGGATTAAGAGTAAGAAGTCGGATAGAGACGGAAGGTCTGAAGGGCTAGTAGTCAGGCCCAGGTTTTTGAGGGTACTTCTTGTGAAAACTCTCGATAAGGTCAGGAGCATCCGCAATGTCGTCAGCACCAACCCAGGAGCATTGCTCGTCAGTGTTTTTGAAACCAAGCCATTCGACATAGTAGCGGAGTCTAACTCGGCATCTCCGATTGATCTTAGAATTGACAATCTCTTTAACTTCCCACTGTTCTTCACCATCTACCTCAACCGCAGCCGGAGGCTCCGGTTTGCGATCAGGGAAGGGTTTAGGAATAGAAGTTTCAAGCTGAGATACGTGAAAGACTGGGTGAATAGCTCGCATATTTTTTGGAAGACGTAGCGTATATGAAGCAGAACTGGGTTTCGCAATGATTTCGTAGGGGCCAAGGAATTGTTCAGAGAACTTCGGAGTTGGTCGGGTTGTCTGAATATACTTTGCCAGGACATAGACTGAGTCGCCAACTGCCAGGTCAGGTTGGGGGATACGCTTTCGGTCAGCAGTCTCCTTATACCTTTCCTGAGCAGAAGTAATTTGTTCACACAAGAACTCGTGAAGCGATTGAAGTTCGACAGTGTAGTCTCTAGCGGGGATGTTCGGAACATCCAAGTCAGCAAGTCAGCATTGACCGTAAGAGTTGGATTATAACCCTTGTTAGCGAAAAAAGGTGAGATGCCAGTAGACATATTAGAAGTGTTATTATAAGCAAACTCAGCTAAGGGTAAGAGTTGGTCCCAATCATCTTGCTGGTACGAAGTGTACATGCGAATGTACTGCTCGAGGGTTTGGTTAGCACGTTCGGTTTGTCCGTCAGCCTCCGGGTGGTAGCCAGACATATAGTGCATTTCCATGTTCAAGAGCATAGCAAGAGATCGAAAGAATGCTGAGACAAATTCTCTACCTCGGTCCGAGGTGACATGTTTGGGAATGCTGTGTTTCAAAAGGACATGAATAAGGAAAAGCCGTGCCAGTGTCAGGGGAACCCCCGCTTCGGCCTCCTTCGGACCCTCCGAACGCATCCGAGGCGCATCCGACCGGCGCCCCCTCGGACGCTCCGACCCACCCCGACCATCGTCCACGGCCTCCTTTGCCCGCACAATCACCGATCCGTCAAAACCCTCCCAACGATCACCTTGGGACAGAGCCTGCGACGCCGCTCAGGCCTTCTGCGCTCTACGTCAGCAGTTACGGACGACCAGTATATAGTTGGCGCCCTAGCAGGCGGACCCTTAGAGTTTCTTCTCTCTACGGCTCTTTACGCCTGCTATGTCTACCGGAGCTGCTCCGGACGCTGACGCGCGCATGGACGCACTTGAGGCGAAACTAGACAACCTCACCAATATCCTCACCCACCTTGCTTCCCAGGCTTCCGCTGCCGCACCACCTTCGGCAGCTCCCGAACCGCCTTCGGCATCTCCGAATGCCCCCGACGCGGATGCATTATTTGGTGACATTACTGTCGCCTCAAAACTGGTCCTACGGCCAAACCCCCCATTTGCGTTTAACAGAGATCGCAAACGTGGCCGTGCCTTCCTATACGCGGTCAAGACTTACACCCGGCTTGCCCTGGAGGCCTTTGTGGTCAACGGAGAGCCAAGCGAAGAAAAGGCCGTCCGCTACGCCATGTCCTATATGGCGGAGGGACCTGCCCAGCAGTGGGCAGAGCATCATGGAAGTAAAACCCCGTTCCCCTTCCCTCGGTGGAACCTATTCCTCTCCGAGTTTCGCCTTTGGTTCGTTGAGGAGAACGAGCAAGACCTCGCGCTCGCCAAGTTGGAAAGCGCGGGTTATCACATGGGAACGCGGGACGTCTACGGATACACCGACGACTTCGAGGACCTAATGGACCTCGCCGGATTCGAAGACGCGTTGGTTAAGGTGACCAAGTACCACCATGGACTTGACCCCCTGATCAACAATGGCATCACGTCCTCGAACGACCCCCCAGACCTCCGTGACTATCTGGGCTGGCGCACTCAGGCTTTCCGCCAATACGAAGCCTTGGTACGGGCGAAGCTCATCAAAGGGACCACCCCGCAGACGCCTTCGGGGGCTCCGCGTGGCGCGTTCCCTATCGCCCGTTCGGCAACTCCGTTCCCCATGTGGCGACCCCAATCACTTGGCTCGGGATTGTCCGCTCCCCGCCAATGTTCGCCATGTGGACATCCTTGACGAGGTAATCCAGCAACTTGGCAACGAGATGCTGGGAGAGCTGCTTGCGCGGCTGTCCGATACCGCGGCCTTAGCGGAGGCGCATTCGGAGGCTCCGGCAGAGGATTTTGTCCCCCGCGACGATTGACTGGTGTGCCCTCGTTCGCGTGCATAAATCGTTTCACTTGTTTGTATGATGAATCAACTCCCTTGCCCTACAACGAGCCTGAAACAAAAGACGCACCCCCTGCCCCCTCCGAAGCCCCCATTCGGATTCGCCGACTTGCCTGGGAGAAAAAGTTACCTGGCAGCTATACCATCTCTGCCGCTCCTGGGGTTAACTCGCTCCACCTTCCTCTCGAACTTGAGTCCACTGCGAATGCGCTCAAGCTCTCCCTCTCGGGTCTGG